TAGCCTGCACTCTTAGTGATGCCATAGGTGAATGTCAGCGATGAACTTGGGAGGACTCAGATTATCAGACGGTGATAATAAAGGAGAATAGAATCTTGACATCCCCTCAGGTTTGCAGAACAGATTACACACAATTATTTCTTTGGTGATTACTTTCTGGTAAATACTTAGATAATAAATGTTTTATATATGTAGCAGAATGTGCTCTGAGACTTGTTTTCATTATGATCAGGTAATGATAGTGGAATAGAACTAGCTCTCACCCTCCCTAAATTTTTTTTTCTGTGGCTACTGCTATCTACCAAAAAAAGAACCTAAAAGTTGTCTTCAGGTCAGCCTGCAATAAGACTTGTCCACGTACAGTTGGTAGTTCAGATCATCGAGGAGGAGTATGAAAAATGAGAAGACCACAGGATAGATACCTGATGATTTTCAGTATTTAGAAATGCCAGAAAAAGGAAAGTCCATAAAGAGATTGAAAAGTAACCAAAGTAAAGGGAGGAGAAGAGCCAAAACTAAGTTGTCATCGAAACCAGAGGATTTAAAAGTTTTAAGGAAAGAGTGTTGAGCAGTTTCAAAGACTTTTAAAACATCTAATAACATCCAACCTGGGAAAAAAAGTGCTGATTTTAACTATTAGTACTTTACTGATGACCTCAGTGGGAGCTAAACAAAGGTAAGAGCAGATGTGAGGACTGAAGTCAAATTTCAGTACACTGAGTGGTGAATGGGCAGTAAGGAAGTAGAAACAATAACGTAACTTGAGAAGTTTGGCTATGAAATGAAGAAGAGGAGTCAAGTGGATGGAGTATGCAAAATAGAAGTGGCTGTTACTTGTATTTTTCTTTTCAGATTAGAGAATCTTGGATACAAGTAGAAGATGCATTTAAATGAGCTGCTGATATATGGAGCAGGAACAAAAAAACAGAAAGAAGATTGACCAAGAGGACAAGGTGGGGGAATCAATTGAAAATACGAATGGAGTTGTAGGTAAGATTGGGCTGGGTGAAGTTCTTTCTGATTTCAGTTTCACTATGAAGAGGCAAGGAGACGTATGTGTGCAATTTGGCAGAGCTGCAGGAAGTTTGCCGTGGCAAAATACAGAGAGGGAAGGAGGAAGCCTAAGGACAGTAATAATGATTTGGGGAGTTGGATGGGAGAAAGCATTTCTTTGGAAGGTTGGATTTCTTATTACTTTGCTTAGATTTATCACCCTATTTCTGCCTTTAAAAAGAATTTAGAGAGGGACACTAGGTGGTTGAGTTAAGCATCAGACTCTTGGCTTCAGCTCAGGTCATGATCTCATGGGTTGTGAGATCCAGCCCTGCTTCAGACTCTGCACTCAGGGGGAATCTGCTTGAGTCTCTCCCTCTACTCCTTCCCTGCATGCACATAGGCACTCTCTCTCTCTCTCTCTCTCTCTAGTAAATAAATTAATCATTTAGAAAATTTTAAAGAAGAATTAAGAGAGACCACAATCAAGTACTAGCTATTAATAAGGATCTCTGAGAGACAACTCCTAAGAATAGGTGTAAAGCCTAGAATGCCTTCCCTTGGCTTTCCCAGGCAGCAAGTCCCAACTAAAGACAATTTATTAATGGGTTGCTTACTTGCATCTTTCCAAAAGTGATGGAAAGGTCAATAATTATGAGCTCAATGGTGAGAGCTATAGAAACCCTACTAAATAATAAATGCTTGTGTCCTGTCATAATGATAAAACTGTAAAATTTCAGTAAAGTTAAAGCACAGATAAACTTTGTCTTTATTTTTTTTAATTTTTATTTATTTATGATAGTCACACACACACACACACACACACACACACAGAGAGAGAGAGAGAGGCAGAGACACAGGCAGAGGGAGAAGCAGGCTCCATGCACCGGGATCCTGATGTGGGATTCGATCCCGGGTCTCCAGGACTGCACCCTGGGCCAAAGGCAAGCGCCAAACCGCTGCACCACCCAGGGATCCCTAAACTTTGTCTTTAAATCAGCCAAAAAGCTGTTTCTGTATACTGTATAGAATCGTTAAACTCTTACTATCTTTGCCCTGAAGTGAATTCAGGAATAACCAGATCAGACCTCTCTTTATGTTTTGTTTTTTGTTATCATAAAATGAAGTGCTCCTTCAAAAAAAAAAAAATACTTACATAACTTACATATGTGCTATGCTTGGAATATTTGAAGGCCATTCTACAATTTTCTTAATGTCTATGGTCTAAAACAGGATTTTGTGTTTGGGTCATATGCGGAGTATATACGGAATATTCGGTAAAGGATTTGAACGTATTCTTTATAGTTACTCCAGCGGCACTAAGATCTTGCAAACTTTTCTCTCTCCACAGCGAGAGGCACTGCGTCCATAGCTGTTAGTGAGCATCCTGTTTACTGCTGATATCCTTACAGACCTGAAGGCATTGTACTTCCCACATCACAGCAGCAGACGTGTGCATGCACTAACATCCTGTGTGGAAAGCATTTGAGTTTCTAACATCACAACACTGTGTTCTATGAATAATTGGGAGAATTCCTTCACAGGAGCTCAAACAATTGGCCATCACACCTTTTTGAAGTCCTGGTTTTCAAAGGCTTTCCCAATCAAGGAACAATAGAGGCTAGAATTTTCACACAATCATTTAATGCTACGATGTGGACAAGCACAATGGCTGTTTTGTGGCAAATTAACATCCGCACCATGTAAGAGCCTTTGGTGGAGATCTGAAGGGAATGGAAAAAGAAGGAGAGGCAGTGATCTAACTTTACCGCTCCTCATTTTTTTTCAAACCTAGTGGTAGAAATCCCTACGTTGTTGTAGCAGGAGAACAAGAGTAAAGGAGATGCATATGAATGTCTTTGAAAATGTTTTTCTAGGGTTTCCCCAGGTGGCTCAGTCAGTTGAGGGTCTGCCTTCAGCTCAGGTCATGATCCCAGGGTCCTGGGATCGAGCCCTACGTCAGGATCCCTGCTCAGTGACAAGCCTGCTTCTCCCTCTCCCTCTGTGATCTTTCTCACTCTCTCTCAAATAAATAAATAAAATAAAAATCTTAAAAAAAAAAAAAAAAAAGAGGGATGCCTGGGTTGATCAGTGGTTGGGCATCTACCTTTGGCTCAGGTTGTGACCACAGGGTCCTGGGATGGAGTCCCACATCGGGCTCCCTGCAGTGACACTACTTCTCCCTCTGCTTGTATCTCTGCCTCTCTCTGTGTGTGTCTCTCAATAATAATAAATAAATAAATAAATAAATAAATAAATAAATAAATAAATAAATTTTTTAAAAAAGAAAATGTTTTTCTAATACAAATTTCAGAAATATCACCAATTGCTACCTCACTAGATACACAAACTTTCTCAGATTCTTTGAATTGACTTAAATGGGGACACCTGGGTGGCTCAGCAGTTAAGAGTCTGCCTTCAGCCCAGGATATGATCCTGGGATCCCAGGATCAAGTCCCCCATCAGGCTTCCTGCATGGACTGCTTCTCCCTCTGCCTAGTCTCTGCCTCTCTCTCTCCTCTCTCTCTCTGTGCCTCTCATAAATAAACGAATAAAATCTTTAAAAAAGAAATCTTTACTCAAAAAATAAAATAAAATAAAAATAAAAATAAACTGACTTAAATGGAAGAATCAGTTATTCCCAAAGCATACTTTTGGCACACAAATAAAGCAACGAACTCCTTCAGTCAATTGCCACCTCACTAGAAAAAAGTTGGGGCTCCATTAGCCTGGAGACAAGGTGAGGTTCTGACTCAGATGAAAAGTATTACTGAATATCTTTCCCTAGCCTGTTCAAAGCTCAGTTGTAATGCCTTTCCGCCCAGCACTGGTCCTCGAGAAAAGAAACCAGGGACCTGCACTGAGAGGAAATAAGTCATCGTTACGCTATCTAAAATTAAAGTACCTATTCCTGCTTTACAGTTTATCAGATGTTTGGTCCGGATGCTGATTGTTTTAAAAGTCTGTCTAAACATAGTATATTTCCTAAAGGAATGTTAGCAAACTAAACACTTACTTCTAGTGACAACATCCTAAATTTTATTAACATAACGAAGAAAAATGAGTAAACAGACACAGTGCTAGTCAGTATGTGTATTTCCCAGGAAAGCTAAACTCCTGACACAATATGATTTATGCTTTTTACTGTAAATTATTAATTATCAGCCCTAACAAAGATTTACCTAGTGCTAAATCCTTAGAAGTGAGAAACACCAACCTTCCCATTGTGAATGTGAAGTCATTAATTGCCTTTGTTCCTAGTTCCTGATAAAGTTATTTATGTAGCAGTAAACAAAAGCCAATGAATTTGATAGAACAAACAAATATCAGAACTCTATTCCCTATCACATCTTACACATATTTGTGGTTTGGGTTTTTTTAGCGAAAAACAACTTTTAGTGATGGAAACTTGTGTAAGCCACGATGTTTATTTTCTCAAGGTTGTTTTTTTGCTGTAAATTGAAAAGGAATCCACTTTTCTGGATTGAAGTTTTGCCGTTGGGGATTACAACAGCTTTGCTTAATTTTTTTCCCTTTAATTTTAAGTTCACCACACTTTCAACCTCTTCCTGAATGAAGAATAATTATTTGGCTGAAATTCATTTTCAGCACATGACTAAAAAAAAATATTTTTGAAGAAACTCAAAATAGCACAGGAAATACTGAAGGGTTAATGGCTCTGACTCCTCCCTAGTTAGACCTACAAAAAAAATTAAATAGATCAATGTGTGTGGTGTAGTAAGAGCTCTTAAGACATTTTTCAATGAAATAAAAAGTAGTCTATCCAGCAGGTAAACACATGATTCTGGAGTGTATTTGGGGAAACTGGGGAAGAATTATAATAACGTAGATCAGCAAAGCACCATTTAGTACTTTGGAGTTGTCTTAAGGAACTGGGTTTCTCAAAGCACTGTTGTGTAATACCGCTGAGTCACGTAGGAAATTATGAGCCTGAGTCCTGTAAGATGCCACCGGGTCCAACAAATATTATGCTTTTCTTCTTCCATCTCTTTCAACACATCTGCATAGTCTTCTTGGTCTGAAGGTCATCCAGCTGCCATGTGAGTAACCATAGCCATCTTTCCTGTAACTGATTTTAGTTTTCCGCTTTTCACTTAATTAATAATCCATGCAGAATTTTGGTCTTTTGTTTATTCTATGATCTGATGAGGCAACAATCACACAACTTACACAATTGAAGAGAGTTGCCTTTCATTCAATTAGCCTGGCTTCTAACATAAGCTACAAGTAGCGAAGAGTCACTGTAGTCAGACTCTTTTTCCTAGAAAGGTACTAAAGGCATTTATGATATGACCTTCCAAGTGTTATTATGGTTGGCAAGAGCCATATAAATGGCATTATATACAAAAGCCAGAAGTTTTTCAGATATTTAAAAATAATTAGGACTAATGTTCTAATGTGAGAAAAAGAGCCCAAAATATTAGGCCAAAAAAAAAAAGGAGTAAAATATCCATAGAAATGTTAATATATAACCCTTAAAACCCTAGGAAAATGCATGTGAGTAGTAGGTTATGTCTGAATAGTCTTTTTTAAAAATAAGTAGATTTTAGGTTAAAAAAAAAAACCTCAAGAAGGTCAGTTCTTAATATTCCTATTTACTTTGATTTATTGATAATATTGGTATTTGATACTAGGTTCCTAAGGCCTTCATCTAGCCTTCAGAAATATTGTTAATAGGCAAACGTAGAGTCTGACACATGACATTAGGTCATCCACTCAGCAACCAATTATTACATACTTGTTGCATACACTGTACTTATGCCTTGGAAATTTGGTATGGAAGAAATAAAAGAAACACTGTTCTTAGAGGAATTTTTTTAAAAGATGTTTTTATTTATTTATTTGAGAGAGAGCAAGGGGAAGGGGCAGAGGGAGAGGGAGAGAGAAAGAATTTCAAGCAGACTCCCTGCTGAACAAAATGCCCAACAACTCAGGGCTTAATCTCACAACCCTGAGATCATGACCCAAACTGAAATCAAGAGTAGGAAGCTTAAATAGCTGAGTCACCCAGATGCCCCTCTCTTAGAAGAATTTTTAAATTCTTTGGCATAAAAAAGAATGAGTAACTTTCATTGCCTTTTCCTCCTCTGACCACTTCCTAAATTCTGCTCACACTTTCTTCTCTTTTGCTTATAATCTTCCGTGGACATCAGTAACCTTTCCCACCAATTCCAGGGCCCACTCTTCAACTTAACACCCATTAGGTAATGTGTCCAACATCTCTATTTTTTTTATCCCAAACTCTTGCTTAAGCTTCAGAGTTGTGTTTTTCTTTGCCTTCTGGATAAATCCATGTATGTGTCCCACAAGATCTTTAAAAATTGCAAGTTGATGTATATTCTCTATGTCCTCTGACTTGTTTCTCCTACTTTCCCTAGGTCTTAGTAGCTCACAAAATCAGGAATCCTTCACACTCATATATCTCATCACTAAGATCATCTAGAGATTGAGCTGAGTTTCTTGAAGGGAGAAGATTTTATCATTTACCCTTTTATCTCAAGTCCCAAACATGGTAACAGGAAAATGGTTGCAACTTCATTAAATATTTGTACAGTTTAATTGAAAGGAAGGACACTGCATCAATTATAGTTTTGAGAGTTGAAGTGACATAGAATTAAAGCACAATCAGGGAGGAAATAATTCAGGAAAGACAAGAAATGCTAATGTGTTTGAAAAGTTGAGTTTGGATCCAAGTCTTAAAGGAAATGGTGTCAACTGGCATGGAGGAAATCTCTGTTCCACAGATACAGATAATCTTTTCTGACTTTGTGTAGTTATCTCACAAATAAAAGGTTTTGATCATAAAAGAGAACCTGAAAGATAAAGAAGTCTCAATTTCTGTCACCACTATTGAAAAGTGCCACAAAGATAAAGAAATAGGGGCACCTGGTTGGCTTAGTGGTTGAGCTTCTGCCTTTGACTCAGGTCATGATCCTGGGGTCCTGGGATCAAGTTCTGTGTCGAGCTCCTTGCATGGAGCCTGTTTCTCTCTCTGCCTATGTCTCTGCCTCTCTCTATGTCTCTCATGAATGAATTAATAAAATTTTTTAAAAGAGAAAATAATGGACATCCTCATGGAGGAGAGGTGGCAACATTTTCAGAATATTTTGTACCAGACATACATAGAGCATAATCTCAAATTAAAATATATGATTAATTTTGGTTTTGTTTCCTTAACTGAGTTCTTTATGATATGTATAACGTTTACTTTCTTATATATATATAAGTTTACTTTCTTTTGGTATTGTAGATTTTGCCATGAACTGAGAGGATCTAGCTGTGGTCCTGTCTGCAGAAAGCTGGAAAAATCTGTTATCACTGTCCTGAGTCTTGTTTACTTCTTCTTTAAAATACAAAAGTTAAATTAAGATGTGTAGTTTATAAACTATGCTAGTAATAAAACCATTTTTACACTTTAATTTTTTATGGTTCATACTGTCAAGATTCAAAATACAAAGACAGAAGTGAAAAGTCCTGTCAATAATCCATTACCCAGACTGATGGCATTAAGCCTCCTGCTTCTTGTATATCTTTTCTGGGATATTTTAGGTATAATTATGAAATGTATGTACAAAATATATATGGATATATGTTACATGAAACAAATAGAAAATATATTTATTTTTTTTAAGATTTTATTTATTTATTCATGAGAGATACAGAGAGAGAGGCAGAGACACAAGCAGAGAGAGAGGCAGAGGGAGAAGCAGGCTCCATGCTGGGAACCTGACATGGGACTCGATCCTGGTTCTCCAGGATCACTCCCTGGGCCGAAGGCAGGCGCCAAACTGATGAGCTACCCAGGTGTCCCTATATTTTCTTTTTTTTTTTTAATCAAAATGGGGCATATATTATGCATTTCATTTGAGCCCTGAATTTTACACTTAATCGTGTATCTTGGAAATCCTATCAGTATATAGATTACCCATCTTCTTTCACAGCTGCATGATAGTCCATTGTATGAATGTATAATCATTTATTTGACCACTCCCTATTAGACGACATTTAGGTTGTTTCAATCTTTTACAATTACAGAAAATACTTCAATGAATAAATTTGTATATAAATCATTTACACAGTGTATTTGTAAAATACAGTCCCAGAAGTGGAAATGCTGGATCAAAGAATATGTGCATTTGTAATTTTTATAGATCTTGCCAAACAGAACCCCTGAAAATTTACATTCTCAGTGACAATGTGTTAAAAAAAAGTATGAGAGCTAATGTTTCTCCACCCTTATGCCCACAGAGTATATCATGAAAGATTTTATATTTAACATTTGATAAATAAAACATGAGATCTTAGTGTCATTTTAATTTTCATTTCACGTATAATAAATAAGTCTTTACATACACACATATTAAACATTTTTTTATAAAGATTTTATTTATTTGAGAGAGAGCATGAGGGAGAAAGAGAGATCACAGCAGGGGGGAAGGGTAGAGGGAGAAACGGACTCTCCACTGAGATCCCTACTTGGGACTCAATCCCGGGACCATGGGATCATGACCTGAGCTGAAGGCAGATGCTTAACCAGCTGAGCCACCCAGGCACCCCACTTTGAACATTTTGTTGTTTTCTGTAAACCTTGTGTTCCTATCCTATGACTATACTATGACTATACTTCTGTCAGGATATTGTTGACTTTTCAATTATTATATATATATATCTCTATACTGTCTTGGCTTTGGTTTGTCATCTTTTGATGGCAGTAGTTCTTGTCAGTTACTAAATATATATATATACTTAATATATATATATTTAATAACTATATATAACAACTATATATAGCAAGCAATTAGCAGGCAACTCTGTGGAAGTATTCTCTGTTCCTATTCTCCCCAGAGGGAGCACACAAAGTGGGTGCCAACTATTCTCCAAAATGCTAGGATTGCTGCCACCAGCCATAGACCAAGAGTCTTCCCCATCAGTATTTAAGCAGACATGAACTACTGCCATCAGAAGATGACAAACCATAGCCAAGACAGTATAGACAGCATACTGGTTATTACAGAAGTTTGGGCCAACTGGTTTTGTAGGTTTATTGCTGGTTAGGTCACTTCATTAATCTCATAGTAATATATATTAATCCCACATGTTAAATAACTGAATTTTGATATATCACTTGTTTTATGGTGGGATCTTATTGTAGCATGTTATGATTTTTTTTAAACATTTCAAGCTATGAAACATCAGGAATTCATTTTAATGTAAAGAATGAAGTCTGCATAAGTTTCCAGTGTCACTTATACTTCAAAAATAGTGTTTCTCTTCTGATACAAAATGTCACTTTTATGGCATACTATGTACTATATGTGATGTAAAAAAATGATAGATTTTTTTTCTAGATTTGCTGTTCTCTTCATTGAAATGTCTAGTAAAGGGACTATTATATTATTTTAGTTCTTATACTTTTATAACATGTTCTTGTAGAATTGTAGAATTATTAACACCCACCACCATTAATTTCACTTTTCTCTTACTGTTTTCTGACTATTCTTACATATTTTCAGTGAACTTGAGAATCATCTTGTCTACTTTCAGCTATTTTTTATTTGAATAACACTAAATTTATGGATTATACCTTAGTGAGAAGTGACATGTTTGATGTTAAGTTTTATTATCTAAGTATGCGATACTTTTTTCCTATTTTTTCATGTCTTTTTGGAGGGCATCCCTCAATATTGATTTAAAGTTTTCTTTGTATTGATCTTGTACCTATCACTTAAAGTTTATTCTAAGTATTTAATTGTTTTGATGGCATGGAGATAGAGTCTTCCTCAAATATTTTCTGATTGTTGCCTGAATGACAGTGACTGATTTTGTTCCAGAAAAATTAGTGAGTTGCCTTACTGTTTTTAAATTTGGAGTTTATTTGGTTTTATTTTTTTTAAGATTTTTTATTTATTTATTCATGAGAGACACACAGAGAGACACAGAGACATAGGCAGAAGGAGAAGCAGTCTCCCTGCAGGGAGCCTGATGCAGGATTCGATCTGGACCCCAGGATCACAACCTGAGCCAAAGGCAGACGTTCAAC